TGCTTACCATGCGCTGCTTCTGCTTTGCCGCCCTTCTCCGCAWTCGCGTATGCCCGCASCTTTTAGGTTGGGCGCTGCCAYATTGCTTGTCTGCTGCCACTTACTAATAACCTCGCATAATTTGCAATTTRGGTTAGTTGCTGGCCTGTATGCAAGGTATGTGGCATATCAATTACGTGCACATTTATTCATTTTGTAGAAATGTATGAAATATTACATGCGCTCAAATCGTGGCGCTTTTACTCGTAATTTTATTAAACAAATTTAATGTTTGTACAACTTATTGATGAAGTGATTTCTTTATGCACCTAGTTCAGCGCAAAAATGCAGTAAAAGTGATCGATTTCGMTGCCGCAAATGACTCGCTTTCAAATTTATTGCCCTTCAATTTGCATTTTAATTGCTGGCGCTTTATTTAGTTTTAAACAAGTTATTGCTGACCAATATTTGCAAATTACTAGTGATCTGAAAGAAAATAGTCCGGAAAGCAGGCGATATTCACTGAAAAAGGGGGCCGTGCAATATTGTGCAATAATTTATGCAGTTTACTTTTATTTATTGTGCAATAAATTAACTATTTTCCATAAAAAACTGTCATGCATACCTGATTTTAAGCTCAAAATAACCACTATCGATCATTACACGATCGACATGATCTTTGTCGTACGATTTCGTGTTGCATTCAYAGCAAAAACCAACTAGTTTGCATTAAATATAGTATATCATATAATAATATACCCATAAAGTTATTGCCCAAGCAATTTTTTTTGCATAAAATATTAACAGTGTTTATTACGATCAGCGCGATCACTAAAAATAAATTTAGCTGTTATTACTGCAGTCAAGCAAAGCATTTATGTAAATATTTTATTTTGTTTTGAGAAAGAAGCGCTGCATCTACACATCAACACCAACAGCTGTTAAATATTTTTAAGATCGTCTTATATGATCGGCGCGATCATTAGTAACCATTTTGCCTATGTTTAAAGCCGGCATGACATTCTTTCGTGCCTGTTTATTGTTAGGTATTRCAATTATTTGTTGCATGTTTACTAAATGTTTGCATTTTAATTTGGTCATTATGAGACTGATCTCTGAAATGATCAGCGCGATCATCAAATTGTACAAAAAATCGTTGCTTCTTTTTATAGCACTTGAAATTGGATATTTATGAGAGTTTTTAAGTAAACAGTTTTTTGCATTCATTATTTTTTATTAAATTTTTAAAAATGTTTTGTTTTTGTATTTTCTAATTATTTTTTAACATAATTTTTAATTCTATTCTTATTATTTTAGTAATTTTTTAAATCTGTTTTACAATTTTTTTTTTTGTTTTTCTCTAATTTTTTTTTTTTACTTCTGTTCTTCAACTATTGTTACCAATACATCACACAATTATTGTAATTCCTTAACTCCCATGCTTGCAAATACACGATTTTCTAAACTAAAAATATGAGCATTGTTTTGTCCTATTCACATCTCGACTGAGCGCCTGGCAACAGCGCTAGGAAGCCGACTTCTTGCAGCCATCCATTCGCTCTCCAAGCACTGCGAAGTTTCGCTTGCAATCGTGCGTCGGCCATTTCAGCCGCTTGTCATGCCAATTTGCGCCTGTCCGCATGCACTTGTCACAGTCCGAACGCGACAGTGGGGTAGTCAGTCAGCGCTGGCAGCTCATTCATTCTCTATAGCACTTGACATCTGAACAGCTGTCCACTTGCATTGCCGCTGAGGCTGCTTTAAGCGCTTTTCATTTGTATGTCGCAACACTCTTGTTGCACCAACGCATTTTCTCCTCTCTGCTTGATATTATCTGTTTGCCGAACAGGTGATCCGTCTTGTGTCTTCTGCCTGTCTGCTTCGCGCACTGTGTTGCGCTTTGCAATTGCCGGCCGCTTGCTGATTTATTTGCATTTTCATTGATTTACTCAGCGCCCTAACGCAGGCAGTCAAGTGCGAAACGTGGCAGGCTCTTRCAGCTCACAACTGAAGACGATCCTCGCTACCTTTCGTTGCTTCTGCATGCAGTCACAAAGAAAACTGCCAGCTCATTGCCAATCGCGCAGTTCTAACAAATAAAAATATGTTTTTTMTTYAGTCYTATTGAGATTTACAACCACATSYACATATGTATATATASCCWTCGTGKTAGCGCTTGCGRAGTCGCTTTTAGTTTCTACTTGAAACCTAGCGCTGTGCACTTGCGCCGCTGCTTAAGCGCTCGAGTGGCGCATACACATGTTTTTGCTCCACAGCCAGCGGCTATTATATATGATTTCAATTATATTTTCGCCCTCACCGCGCGCCATACATCTTCATACAAGTAATAGATTTGGAATCTCTTTCGCTGTGGCGCTTTTGATATTAAAATTGATTTTAATGATGTCGCTGTTATGCTTGTGGCTCTTGATGTACTGTTGTTAGCTGACTATYATAACTGGAGTGTGGCCGACAACTGCACCAACAACAACAGGCACRTAAAGTGATAGTCAACTTTTGTTCGCAACATAACTGAAGCAGTTTAATGAGCACTTCTGCGCTGCTTGCTTGTTGCGCATGCGCGTCGCGTTTACGCTATGAAAGTATACAATGCATGTTATACATAAACATATGTACGCGTACGCGTTTGGGCGCTTTTAATTACAATTTGTTGCGCCACATTACTGCAAATCCACGCATATTCGCAATGCTTTCCAAAACGTTGCCTTTGAGGACTTTTGACAATCATTTACTTTGTAGTTTTGCTTGAAAATGAGCGCGCGCGCTTGCATACCCCGCGAACATTTCACTTTTTTATGTAGACAAAGTTAGCCGATAATTTTTTAAGCGCGTTTCGCAAATTTCCCACAAGTGGGTCAGTGAAGTGTCTATGAGACGTTTTGTTAGTGCGAAGCGCAAAAATTTTTTATGCAAACAAGTCTAGGTATGATTTTGATTTCTTTAGCTCATTTAATAAAACAGTTGTTGCACCATTCAACAAACGGTCTCCTCCACAGCGCGCAGAAAGCGCCAACGCAGCCAGCGCCAGTTACYAACAAAAGTGAATGACAAACGCGCGCACGTCTGTCAGTCACAAATCAAATTGCAACAATAACACTAACATAAATGCACAGAATAGTGGAAGCAAAAACAGAAACAAAATAAAGCAAATCTGCCATTAATATTTACGATTCCAAAGAAGATTTGCGCGAACCACGCGAACGCCAACAACTGCATTGACCAATGCACTTGACGGCTGACTCGTCGTTGTCACTGTTTCGGCTGCGCAGTGACAGCCGCAGCAAAAACACTTTGACGCAGTGACTATTTCTTTGACTGACTGTTTGCCATTGAGCGCGGCAGCTTTGGTGCCGCCGCAACGGTTATATTGACTGCACTCACTCTACACATACTCAACCAGCTAACAGCAGCGGCGGGTGGCTGCAATAAAACGTACAAGTAGAAGCAGCCGAAGAAGAAGTAAAATGCACTTATAAATATTATAAGTAAATAACTCCACTAGCATTTGACCATTTGGCGAAAGGTGACTCGGACTGCAGTTCGCCGGCGATCATGGCGATCTTCTCTACTTGCTCGTCTTAACTTGGGCAATGTATGGTAATGAATGCAAGCGTTTTGCACAGCTGAGTATGCGTAGCTAGTCTACGTGTTTTTAAGCGTAACTGAGCTTAGGTTTAGCGTGTGTGCGTCGTCATGTGTGCCGTTCGCTATACGCTTTTTTAGGTTGCACACTTTTTATTTGCGCTTCGTAACTTCWCTGTCCATATCTTCCACTTCATGTGCAGCGCTTCGATTTCTTACATGTCTCTTTGCCAGTTGTTTTGTCTGCTTATCTGTCTTTCGCTCTTTGTCCAAGCAAGCAAGCAAGCAACCAACGAACCATCCATCCATCCATTTTGTGTGTGTTTATGGTGTGTGACCATTTTTGCAAATTATTTCTCACGGCCAATAAGCACATGCATGGCAAATGTACAAATACGCATGCATTCCGCGCTTGTRTGCCCGCGCGCATTCGCTCGCTGCCACTTTAAGGCAATAACTTACTTACTGACTCAACGCTTCGCCAAGTAAGTTCCAACACTTGTCTCTTTGCGTTGCTTCCCTTCAGCAAAGCGCGCGTTCGCAATTYTGTTATGTATGTTTAGTGAAAGCGCGCGCTCGCGTACAAAGGATATGCGCGCTGTAAAAATAGATATAAAAAGTATTTAATTTAATAATGACAATAATGACGGAACACTACAAAACCCTTTACCAAATGAAATTACAAAAGCAAAATAAAGCGCAATCAWAAAGTTCTCGTCCGAAAATAAAAGCAAGCGTTCAGGCGGTCCAACGCAGCGTCTGAAATTTTATTTTCTTACTGCTCTTATTTGTCATTCTCTTTTTCAAACTTGATACTGCATCTTCTGCCAAACATGCCGTTCAAACAAATCCCTGCGAGCCAGCGATCATCACTTGCCGCCTGTGCGTTCGTTTCGGGGATGCTTTTTCTGTTTATTTTTKACTTGATTTTTGTGTGCGCGCTTGTGATCGCATGAATGAAAATTAACTAGCTACATGTTTGTTGCATACGTGCGAGAATTTTAAAAATACGCGCGRCCCAACCATGAGCTTGTCTGCAATGTGGACGCCGTCAGCGCTTCGCACTACCCGGTCAGCGATATGTATATGCTTCGATATGCTGTAAACAAGCAGCTCGTAAATTGGAGCACTTCAAGTGAACCCTTCAAGCCTTATAACTGCTTTTTAAACTTTATGTGMTCCGCAACGCCCCTCAAATATATTGCCGATCAGTTTTTTAAGTACCCAAAAAACTGTTTGCAATACTGCTTGAAATTAATTGACACAAATATTTATTTCGCCGGTGCTTCACACATTCCGCTTTCACTGGCTTTAGTCAAAACTCAAACCATTATTATCACTCTAACTTAGTTAAGTCACAAACCACTAAACATTCATTATTTAGCTAATGAACGAACGCTTTGTCTTTGTCTTTACAGTTGTCAAACAGGCTGGAAGGGACCGCTCTGCAACGAATGCGAACCTTACCCCGGTTGCGTGCATGGCACTTGCAACAAACCATGGAAGTGCATCTGCAAGGAGGGCTGGGGCGGTCTGCTCTGCAATCAAGACTTGAACTACTGCACSAATCATCGTCCTTGTCAAAACGGCGGCACCTGCTTCAACACCGGTACGGATCTATACACCTGCAAATGCCCACCGAACTTCACCGGCACCGAATGTCAGAATGAGATCACCTCATGCAAGGAAGGTAATCCCTGTCAAAATGGCGGCGCCTGTCACGATGAAGCCTCAAATCGCGGTTACAAGTGTGAGTGTTTGAAGGATTGGGGCGGCCCGTTGTGTGARGAGAAAGTAATCACTTGCTTGGACAAACCCTGTCGCCATGGCAGCTGTCGCAACACCACGAAAGGTTTCCAATGTGACTGCCCCAGCGGCTATAGCGGACGCATTTGTGAGCTTCATGTGGACAACTGTAATCCGAATCCCTGCCAGCATGGTGGTAGCTGTTTCATGACCTCGTCCGGCAATCACAAGTGCCAGTGTCGTAGCGGTTTTACTGGCAGCATGTGTGAGCAAAATATCGATGATTGTCARGGCAATCCCTGTCATAACGGCGGCACTTGCATTGATATGATCAATCAATTCCGTTGTCAATGCGTGCCCGGCTACTTGGGTTCACTATGCTCTGATAAAGTSGATTTATGTTTGACCAAACCGTGCGCCAACGGCGGCACTTGCACAAACTTGAACAACGATTACAAATGCACATGTCGCGCCGGCTTCACAGGTAAAGATTGTTCCATTGACATCGACGAATGCATATCGGCGCCCTGTCGCAACGGTGGCACCTGCGTGAATCGCGTCAATAGTTTCCATTGCGTTTGCGCCAACAACTACCACGGCAAACAGTGCGAGGAGGAGTCATACGCATCGGCGTCGTACAACGCACGCCAATACGAGGTCACGCCACAAGCACGCAGCGATGGCTTGACTAGTGGACAGGTCTTTCTCATTGCCWTACTCTCGGTCGCCATGCCGGTGGTGGCGGTGATCGCTGCGTGCGTAGTGGTCTGCATGAAGCGCAAGCGTAAGCGCGCGCAGGAGAAGGACGATGCCGARGCGCGCAAGCAAAACGAACAGAATGCGGTGGCGACGTTGCATCACAATGCGAATGTTGGCGGTGGCATGGGTGTAATGAGCGGCGTGGTAGGTGGTGTTGGTTTGGGCGTCAAGCGCACTTCATCCTCTGGCCTGACATTCGACAACTCCAATCCGAACATCATCAAGAATACATGGGACAAATCGGTGAACAACATTTCAGCGTCGGCGAGCACAGATGATTGCCTCAACACTTCGTTATACGGCAGCGCGTTAGCCAACTACGCAGCAGACAACAACGCCAATTCGGAATTCTGCGGTGTCGGTCAAATAGCACCAYTRCAACGCGCCAAATCACAGAAACAACTCAACACAGATCCCACACTAATGCATCGCGCCTCACAATTGTTGCATAGCGCCGCAAGCGCYGTAGCTGGTGTAAGCGCTGCTGCTGTRGCTGCCAACGCTGCCGGTGCTGGCATGAGCGGTGTGGTTGGCGCTAATGGCGCTGTCGGTGGTGTCGCAACCAAAGAGTATGCCGTGCATGGCAGCGGTGCTGGCGAAGGTAAACGCATCTCAGTGCTGGGCGAAAGCGCCTACTGCAGTCAACGGTGGCCATCGCTGGCGGCAGCCGGTGTGACTGGCGGTTGCGCGTCCCAAATGATGGCTGCCTCGGCGGCGGCGTCAGCGGGGAGCAGTGCCGGRGCGTCGGCTGCGCATCAACAGCAGCAACAGGCGCGCGCCGTTATGTGCGGCACGCCGCATATGTGAGCACATCGCGCAGGTGAGCAGTTTTTGGCTGTGGCGTCAAATAAGCGGCGCACACGCGTCATACCGCGGGCGCGCACGTTTTTGGCGCGGTGGTGGGGGCACGCTTAACGCGCTGTTGTATATTTGCTACGAAATTTCTTAAAAACACACACACATATATATAAATATATTAAAAATTTTTATTATTATTCTATGATTTGCAAATATTTCGCCGCTGTGTAAATGCGAGAATTTTAGAGCGAAAATGTGCTGCTACCCTTCTCAATTATAAATAGTTATATAATATTTTCTTGTAAATTTTCGCTATTGAAATGGACTGACGTTGATAAGGAATTTATTGTAAAAAGCCGTATAAATAATTAACAATAATTAGGCTTAAGTAATTTAGTTGTGCGCACGAGCGAGCGAGCGAACGAAAGTGAGTGGCGTGCAGACGAATTCGAATTCGAAGATGATTCGGACAAATTATATAGAAATTTAGTTAAAAAGAAATGTATTAAAATTTAACAAGTATGCGTGTGCTTTGTAGTACTTATGGAAAAAAGGACCTTAGTGTTATGAAATTTTTTAATTGTTAAAGTAATTTACTAAATTGTAATATTTATTAAGCCAAAAGCATAGAATTTTGACGCATTCCGCAATTAGCAAACGACGAGTATTTTTGCATGACGCAGACACACAACTGCCGCATTGAGTTTAAGCAATTACTTTCGGCACACCCTAATATGCAGTGCATGTTTTCGCACTTAACCTCAAAATTTTTGATTTTTTTTTTAACATTTTTTTCTTTTTTTGAATTAGTTTCTCCATACTTGCGGCGGAGCGCGCTGATTGCTGTGACGACATTTGAATTATCGTAATGCTAGTAGTATTTAAAGTTAAAGCCCAAATGACAAAGGCGCTGTACTGTGCAAGCGTAAATAAAAGACAAAAACAAATACGAAAAATGCCTGAAAACTTGACATTTTAAACTGTTGCATGCGTTTAGACAAATCGAAATTTTTGTGCTTCAAAAACAAAAACAAAAAATTTATATATATATTTTGTATATAAAAAATCAACAAAAAATTTGCCATTTTCTGAATATTTTGCATTATTTGTAAATGTTTAAATTTTAAAATTACAAAACTAAAAATTAGAATTAGTGCTTTTTGTGCGCAGAAAAAATTTTGAATTCGATTCGACGAGAAAGCAACAAACAACTTAAATGACTTGTATATATTAGTTTTTAATTTGACTTAGACACTTTTGACTTTGTGTTAGTTTATTTAACAAGCAAAATTCTCGATTTTCCATTTTTTGTGCGTGGTTTGTGTTTTTTGTAAGGTTTAAAATGTGTAAAAATAAATATTGACAATTAATATTTTGATAAATATCTTTTCGAGATTAAACACTAAAAAATATAATTTTGATCTCAAAAACATATTGGCTAATTGTTTTTCAAATATTTATGCATTGTGCTTGTAAAGAATTTAAGAATATATTATAAAAAACAATAATT